ATAGATAGATAGATAGATAGATAGATAGATAGATAGATAGATAGATATAGATGAGATAGAGATAGATGGATGGATGATAGATAGAGATGGATGGATGGATAGAGAGATGATAAGATAGATAGAAATGGATGGGAGAGAGAAAGAAAGAGAGATGAATATGGATGGGTAGATATGGATAGAGTGGTAAGTTAAGGTAGACAGAGATGGATAGATAGGTATGAATGTAGATGGATGGATGCATCAATGGATGCATGGATGGACTGAGAAACAGAAAGACGGTGTAAGGATCTGCCTCGTCTCAATGAATAGATGTATTCATTGTTTCCATGATGCTTGGATAAACTAGAGAGTTACCAACAAATCACGAATACAATACAAGTCACCAGCAATCAAGGAAGATGCTTAAGGAGACCTTCCATGGTTGGGATTTAATGGGGGGAACTGGTCCATTCGGGCCTTTGGGCTTCTCTGTCTCAACACGCCCCTGATCGGAGCTACGCTTAGAAGAAGACCTGCCTTGTTGTATTTTCTCAGATGGGCTACGTCAGGGAGTACATCCTCTGGGCAGCTGCCAAGTCCCAGCTGCTGGCTCACCAGTTCATTTGGAACATGAAGACCAACATCTACCTGGATGAAGAGGGACACCAGAAAGACCGTGAGTGGACCATGCTTGGGGATCTCGCGCTACCTTCCTCCTCCTCCTCCTCTTCCATTCCACAAAGCCCCACTCCCTTCTAGCACTGATGATGCTACCTAGTTGAGCCATGAAATACCTGCAAGAAGATCAAGTTCAGAGACCACTAACCCCAGTCTTCCTCCTCCTCTTCCTCCCACCTTCCTCCTCCTCCTCTTCCATTCCACAAAGCCCACTCCCTTCTAGCACTGATGATCCTACCTAGTTGAGCTGTGAAATGTCTGCAAGAAAATCAAGTTCAAAGACCACTAATCCTGCAGTCTTCCTCCTCCTCCTCCTCCTCCTCCTCCTCCTCCACCTCCTCCTCCTCCTCCTCCTCCTCCTCCACCTCCTCCATTCCACAAAGCCCACTCTCTTCTAACACCAATGATGCTACCTAGTTGGGCCACAAAACATCCGCCAGAAAACCCCTCAAGCTCCGAGAGCCCCAAGGACCCCACAAACTTCACTCTCCTCCTCCTCCTCCTCCTCCTTCTGCTTCCTCGTTGATGTAGCTGACATCGGGGAACTGTTGGAGCAGCTCGTGGAGGAAATAACCGGCTCGTTGTCTGGTCCAGCCAAGGAGTTTTACCAACGGGAGTTTGACTTCTTCAACAAAATCACCAACGTTTCTGCCATCATCAAGTGAGTACAAAGGCAGAGGCATTTTTTTAAAAAAAACAACAACAACCCTTAATTCTTTCCTTGCAGTGAAATGGACCTAATAAACAAAACCCAACTTGCGTCGCGGGACAGAATTCATAATTCAAATATTCCCAATATGTTGTTTTTTTTCCCACTACCTCCCCAGGCCGTATCCTAAAGGTGAAGAGCGGAAGAAGGCTTGTCTGAACGCTTTATCTGAAGTGAAAGTGCAACCAGGTAAAGAAATTAACGTTTACAGGGAGTCCAGAATTCCTGTTGCTAAGGGGAAACAGGAGTTCAGTGGGTTTTGCCCTGTTTTAATGGCGTTTCTTGCCAAAGAACGTCGTAACTTTGAACAGGCACTTAATGTCGCAAGTCGAGGACTACCCCTAAAGAGGAGAAAAGTCTTGGCTGTTGTCCTCCCAGACAAGTCCTGCTAGCTCAACCATTTGGCTGGTTTCTACCAAGGATTCTCTTCTTCTCCCTCCCGATAGGTTGCTATTTACCAAGCAATCCAGAAGCCATTGTTCTGGATATTGACTACAAGTCGGGAACGCCTATGCAAAGGTATGGCCTGGCATCCCTTTCCAGCCTGTTCCACTTGGGTTAAGAAGGAAAAAAGGAATTATTGCTGGCATTGACCTGTTCTTCTTCCTTCTAGTGCTGCCAAAGCCCCTTATTTGGCCAAGTTCAAGGTGAAAAGATGTGGAGTGAGTGAACTTGAAAAAGAAGGTTAGTTTAATGGCTCTTCTTCTTCTTCTTCTTCTTCTTCTTCTTCTTCTTCTTCTTCTTCCTCTTCCTCTTCCTCTTCCTCTTCCTCCACTTCTTTTCCTTCTCCTCCTCCTCCTCTTCTCCTCCTCCTCTTCTTCTTTTCCTTCTCCTCCTCTTCTTCTTCTCTTTTTCTTTTCCTCCTCTTCTCCTTCTCCTCCTCCTCCTCCTCCTCCTCCTGGTTCTTCAAAGGTAACACATTTGACATTCATGTGAAAAGAGAGAAATTGTTCCGCCACGTATCCTCTTCTTGATCTTCTTTTTCTTCATTGTCATCTTCTCTTCTTCTCCATCAACATATCAACTTGAGTTGAGAACCTTCTCCTCTTCTTCTTCTTCTTCTTCTTCTTCTTCTTCTTCTTCTTCTTCTTCTTC